TGAAATAGTAAAAAGATAAATGAAATGGCAACTTGATTAAGTATATATGATATCTTGATAATTGAATGAGACATTCTTTAATAAAAGAATGCATACTTGCACATAGTGGGGGTGATAAAAATCAAAAGAAATAAAAATTGCCACCATAGTATTATAAGATTTAGTATAATTTTATGAGTAAATTATACAAGCTAATAAATTTAGACACTTATTAAAATAAAGTCATAAAAAGATCCTTAAAAATTTTAAAATAACTAAAATGGTTTGTTTTATTCATTGAGTTTATCCAATTGTACTAGAAGTATAATTATATTAAGGATGATAAAAATATAAAAATAGAATGGTTGAAATTTATAAGTATAGAGTTGTGGCCACAACCAAAACTAACTATTAAAATAATAAGAATGAGGCAACAATGTCTAGAGCATATAAATGATATGCAAAATAAAAAGTTTGGACATATTAACTTGAAGTGATTATATTAGAGATTCAATCTCAAGTGAGGGTAATTACCATAAAAGAAAATTGAATTCTAAGATATTTGGTTAGTAGTACTACAAGTAAAATGGATTTAAACCCTTACTATTGGACACTAATAATGGAAACCCAACTTTGAATTAATAACCTCTAATTACAAAGTTTAATGGGTAAAAACAAGCTATTGTTTTGTGTCTGTTAAGCACTAGTAAAATCTATTCAAATTTTAAAAACTAGTATGATTCATTACGTGAAGAGGATGAGTTTTTATACTCTTAATTGAGTTTTAAATGTCTAAAGTAATGGAGACATAATGAAAACTTTACGTATATAAACATAGAAGTGGTGCCACTTCAATAAGAAGAATTAAGGTTTTTCTTGTAAATATTTATGAATAGAATAAGAACATGGTCATAATAGTACTAAAAGCGGTTACAAACCTCTGATAAAAGAATAAATAATTATTATGTGTGTTATATCTTCAATTTTAACATTATGAGTTAAGGTTTAATCTGCAAACACCATCAACTTTGTTAGAATTCTAAGATATATACGCTAATTGAATGTTTAAATTAAGATATACCTTCTTATATTCATAATATTTATTTGTATAAAAGGTTAAAGATTAAGCACCAACATTCCAAATTAGTAGGGGATTGTTAGTAGTTTAAAATGTGGTGCATCTCACATTTGATAGAAAGATTTAATTTTGATAAGTAAAGTTAATTTTTGTACTAATTTTATTTATATTTTAAATAATTACATTTGAACAAAAATAATTATTATAAGATAAATTGTTATAATTATTTGAATATATATATATATATAGATTATTATTCATAAAGGTCATGATTATATGGAAGGTCATAACCATTTGAATAAAAGTTTATATCTATTCATTCATTATAAATAAATCTTTTAATATAACTATTTTCACTATTTGTAATTGGAGAGTTTGAGACTTTGTTATATCTTAAAAGCATAATTACCTTTAAAAAAATATTCTTCATGCCTCGAAATCAAAATTTTTTTCTATTATTTCTTTTCTCTTATTTATTTTTTTAACAGTTGATGCACTAATAGTATCTCATTCCACAACCTCCATATGAATGTTCATACATTGGCTGGTGTTGACAAGTGCCAAAATCATTCCCAAACCAGACATGTCCCATTGGTGTATGTACGCCCATATTTGCAACCCCTTGGCTTGTATTTATCTCATTTGATATCAACATGTGGTATCCGCTTCTAATAGTATACTCTTTGTGCTATGTGTGGTGCCAAACCATAACATCTTTTTGGCCATTCAAGCTAATAAAGATCACTTTAATCTCTTTCACATTCTCCTTCTAGAACATAAAGTCCAGCTTCACCTCATCCTATTGTGTCCTATTCGTATCAAACAAGTCCATTATCCTTTCATCACCTGGTATGTAATTTATTTGGTGGGTCGGACTAAAATGGTTCTCATTTGAAATCCACTTGTATTGCCAACTTAAATTTTTTTATGTTTAAAAAACTAAGGCTAAAAGAGATTGACAACCATTTTTTTTATGTTTATATTTGGCCCCAACCTAAGTTACAAGGCTATAATAATAAAACAATTTATCGTTTAAATAAATATTAAAAGAATAAAATATTTAAAAATATAAAAACAGAAAAAATAGAAATAATTATTGTCTACATAAATATTAATAGAAAAAATATTACATATTTAGAAATATTTTTAAAAAAAGAAAAAATAGAAATTATTAACGTACAATTTTGAGACACAGACAAAATAGGTACAATTGTTGGTTAAAAGAAAATGATTTTAATTCATATTTTTCAAGGAAGAAAATGATTAATATACCTTAAATTATTATTACATGTTAATACAAATTTTCAATTCACCAACTAATTTGTTATTACTCGTTAACAATTTTTAACATTTTAAGAATAATATAGATATTTTAAACTTGATGCAACAATGCTAAACCCTTAAGCCCAAGCTGAAGAAAGAATTTCATGATTCATCTATGAATGATAAGTGCCTTATCGGACAGCTTAAATCATTCTTGTTTTGTAAGCTAACTTGGAAAGCAAGAATGAAAAATGAAGCCAAAAGAAACATTAATAAAATGAAATGAATAACTCCAACAAAATTTTGGATCCATCATAAAAAAGGAAAATATGGCAATGTTAATGAAAAGAATTACAAACTTGGCCAAAACTGCTGCATCTCCTTTTTTTTCAAAATTAATCCTATTATTTTTCTATCACCCATCACTTACTTTATTCTACTTCACCAAAAGCTGACATACTCAAGGGCACTGCCACTAATGTCATTGAAATCTTTAAAAGAGGTGATCTAGTCGACTCTGACTCACTCGTGTCAACCACTGTCAAGCCTCTTTTACCCAACATCCTTCAACCACGTGTTTTTATTTATAATGGAGTCTGCCATCTTTGCCACCAAAGTTTGTTTCCTTTTTCTATTTTCCCTATTAAACATTTTGACTTTCTTTAATAAAAAATGAATATTTTGACTAATTGAGTTTTCTTACTGTTAGGTCTTTTCTTACTTTTGCTATTGGTTTTTTTTTTTTTTTCATTTTAAAAGGGTGAAATGGGTGATTAAGGCAAACAAATACAAAAGTATCAAGTTCTGCTATGTTCAATCAAAGGTTACAGAACCATACTTAAGAGTTTATGGAATTGATGAGTGGATGTTCTTCATCATTTTGTTTTCATTGAAGGCCTTGGTGTTTATCACTAAGGTTCTACTGGTTACTTCTCTGTACACTTATTTTTTTCCATATTAATGGCTTTTTCTTTGCTATCTTTTCTTTGACACAAAAAATATATTATGCCCTTTTATTTATATATTGCTTTGTTCTATGTATTCTGTGGTGGGTTTGTCTTGGAAGTTGGTGTTATATGCCTTCTTAAAATTTCTTTTATTATATACCTTCTATAAATATATGCCATTTAGAGAAATTGTTGTTTGAAACTCAAAATTTTTTTGCATTTAGTTAAGGATGATATCATTGCAAGTTAAAGGAGACAATAGCTTGCTGGTTTTATAAGGAAGTAAATGGTGATGTCAAATATGGCAATTGAAAATTTGTTCAATTTGAAATTTTTGGCTTTTAGCACTATTTACAAACTTGTAATTTAGCTTTCTGACATTTAACTTGATGATAGTGTATTTACTATGCTTTTATCTGCACAATTTTGCATCAACCAGTTAGCAAAGCATTATATAGTAGGTGAAGGCTAGTAAAGCTAGAGTGAAATTTCAAAATGCCACTTTTGGAACTATAAAGATAGATTGATAACAAGGTGATATCCTGTGAGGGAATTGTTGTTCCATGTAGAAAAACTCCAAATGGCCTTTTAGGCTACTAAAGATGTTCTCTTGCTGTAACGTCCCTAATCCCACATTGGAAGAATGTGTAAATATAGTATGATATATATGTAGAGATACATCTTTTATAGAACAAAACCGTGAAACTTTTAGGTCAAAACAAACAATACCTGCAAGTTAGTTGTGGGTCTCCACAAATGGTACTAGAGCAATCATTAGCAGATGAAAACTAAGTGCTACATCATGAGAGTCACTAAGTGCTATACGATAGGGAGCCACCTTTAGAATCCTGACGTCTGGTGTGATCTTGATCCTATGATTAGACTCGATTTGACAAGGACTCAGGCTCTAAAGATTGAGAGATTATAACGCCCTCAATCTCACATTAGAAGATTATGTGAATATGATATGATATATATATATATATATATAGATCTAAACTCAAGTATGTGAGATCTTTTTTGTGGGATAAAATTTTGAGACCTTCGGGTCAAAATAGACAATATCTCACAAGTTGAGTGCAAGTCTCCACAGTTGCTAATGACTAATGCAATGCATTTAAACTTTAATATTGAAATTAAACAATATTTTCAAGGAAAAATATCTAAATGGCTGCTAAAGTTTAATTTCTAAATGGTTATGAGATTGAGAATTTTATTAGTTGCTATTGCTGCCTCTCCATTCTGTTGCCTTCTAATCCCTTTAAAGTCTAACATTTTTCTATAATTTATTCTGCAGTTGCATTACGAGTATTGTCATATTTGCCATTTCCCTACTCTGTTTTAAGTGCATTCTTGATAATTCCAACTCCCTTGAGGGATGCAATTTATGATTATATTGCCAAGCAGCATTATGACTGGTTTGGAAAGAGTGAAGATTGCCTAATTTTGCAAGAAAACAATGCCTTGGAGCGTTTCATAGATAGGGAAGAAATGTTGGATCATAATCAATCAAATTTGTAACTTGGATTCCCTTCAATTGAATTGGACAATTTTATTTTTGGCAGATGTCCTGGGTTACATATTTCTCAATCAGATGTAAAAGATGTATAGTAAATGTTGTAAGTTATCAAAGAGCATTTCCATTGCTTGTAATAAGATTACAAAGCTTTATTATCTTACATATGATTCAAACATTTTCTCCATCACCCAGATAGTTGATTCTTGTGTCATGGTACCATGAATTCCATATCGGTTGTTTATTAGAATTGGTCTTGGAATATAAGTGTTCACACCACTTTCTCCTTGTGAGGCATCTTTTGTGAGACAAAACCGTAAAGCTAATGAGGCCGAAACAGACAATATCTCAAGTTGGTGTGGATCATAACAGTTAGGCTAATCTGAGATATAGAAGAGGCCATCCCAGTATCCTAAAACCATGTGAGTTTAGAGCTTGAGTCTCGACTCATAACAAGTGATATCAAAACCAGCTCTGAAAATACTAGCAATATGCCTCGGCTGTGTACTAATCTTGGGATATAAGTGTTCATACAATTTTCTCTTTGTGAGGTGCTTTTTGTGAGACAAAATTGTGAGAATAAAGAGACCAAAACAGACAATACCTCACAAATTAGTGTGAACCGTGACAATTAGACTAAACTAGAACACGGAAAAGGCCATCTCGGTATCTTGAAACCACGCTAGTTTGGAGCTTGAATATTGACCTATGACACTTGCAAGATGCGGGAGTAAATGAATAAAACGGATTAACAGGAGGTGCCCAAATCTGAGTCAGGTCAGTCATATAGTCGTAAAAAGGCTTTTACAACGTGGAGAACCCTTAAAAAAGATTGTCTTAAACCACCGGCCTTGAATAAAATGGCAAGGTCCCATTATGAATGACTACAAATCTATACTATACTACAACGTATTATTGAAGTTGAAGTGATGGGCACTGTTTCGACGACAAATCTACAATGCCCACAAATTTAACTTTAACTGAAGTATAATTGTTAGTTTCAACGAAAATTACAGGGCTAATTCCTACAAGAACTCCTATCCATAACGAAAGCGGTCATGGTATTCTTTCTGCTCACAGCTCGGTTGAGTACTCTCCAATTTAAGCTTGAAAGTTCCTTTATCGTAGCTGGAGTAGGTGTGGGATTTGGTCCTGGCTTTGTTTATACATTTTGTATTTGTTTATACATTTTGTATCCATCCATCATCTCTCTATCGTGCCCATTTGTCTTTAGAACGTAACAACTTTTTCTCGAGGCAGATCTGATATGATTGACAGTTTTGGGCTTGAAACGATTTCTCCATCATCAATACTATTCTTATGATCATTATTACAAGATAAAATGTCACCCGAAACTGTTGACTAATCGGAAAAATGTCGCCTGTTATGACGGCTCAGCCAGCTAAAGACATGAGATAAGCTTAAAAGAGTCTATTAATCTCGACACATTCCCAACTGGAGAATCCCCATTTGCCGCCAATCAAAGAGCGGGCAGGAGAAGGCTAATTTGCTAAACTCACCCCCTTAGGGAGATGCCTCCAAATATTGGCATATACCGCTGTCTGCGGCAAGCACACGTAATCTACTAGTAAATGGCTAAATAATGGTTCTGTCTCTGCTCCTCAAGCGGTTGAATGATTTGTTTTTGGTTATAACCCCCAATTTTTAAGGTTGGTCTAGAAGTAATAGCTTTCCTCGTCTAAGCAATGTGGGATTGATCCTAGGGTAACTACCTTTCGCTTCCCAGCAAGTTTTTATAGAGCAACATGCTTGTTTCATATAATCCAGAGAACCATCTCAATTCTCTAAACAGCCAAGAGATGAAGGGCAAGAAAAGGGCGAATTCAACACTTGCAAGGATTCAAAGTGGAAGAAATAACGCTTATGGAAATATGGTTTACGGCATTGCATTTTTGTTATGGAACTGATTGGATGATGCTCAATTGGGAGACATAACTGGTGATTGGATGAGCTATATTAATCCTACTAGTAAGCTACTCCAGCTTGTACCAATAAAGCCATGATTGAACCATTTGAGTAAATCATTTCAACATAATTTCTCCACTACAGCTTGGATATGAAAACTTGCCAGCTCCGTTGTTAAGAAATTTTAATTCTTTGTTTAAACTTTATCTTCGGATTTGTGAGGGAGGTGTTGTATTCACTGCATGCTCCTGATTTTTTTTAATGATTTTTGGAGCATCAAAAATGGCTCAACTGCCCTGCTTAATTACTAGAGGTTTCTGTCTGGCATGCAATTTGGTGATTGAAGAGAGAGAGAGAGATTATAGCTGCGATAACATGGAACTTGGAATACGGAAGCTCCAAGAAATCGACTCTTATGTATTAGCTACCAAATAGAACAGCAAAATCCATAAACAGGGGAGTACACACATCTCTAACACTCAAGTACTGCAAGGCATGCTCAACTGGGGATTGTCTATCAGAGAGCTGGTTCGATTCAGCAGATGCATGGAGCTAATTAGTAAGGGCACTTGGGCTTGTTGCCGTGAGTTCTCATGTCAGTATAGCATCTCCCACACATTTCTCTGTTCCCTGAGGTCCCTGGAGGAACACATTTGCATCTAGCGCAGCAGGTTCCACATGCTCTTGTGCAGATGTTTTGCCTAGAGTGTAAGCTGCACCTCACCTTGCACAACCCTCCACAATCTGTAATACACAACCAACTTAATTAACTGTTAATCGCCAAATTTATTCTTTCAATAAGGATGTTTTCCAGCTTAAACAATATATATATATATATATATATATTAAAGGAAAATAAAACTAGCTGAACAACAATATCACGGCAGAAATCTCTACCAACAAATGGAAAAAGCCTTCTTCTTGGTCCTTTCACCACCTGGGTATGTTGCTGGTCTTCAATGGAGGTTTCTGTTGAGACCTGGAAAGCACATTAAAACTTAAAAGGGAGAGCTAAACGTTTGATCCTGAAAAGGAACAAACAAGCTGTTGTTAAAAGAAAACCAGAAAAAAAAAGAAGGTTGCTCTCTACCTGAGCTATGCTGAAGAACAAAACCAGCAGCAGGATAGTAAGGCCGCGTAACTCCATTAGGGTCAGATGGGAATATTGCTAGCACCTTTCAGCGACAAATGATGCTGAGGTCTGGAAACTTGGGATTGCTAGGAAAGTGGCGCTTGGTCTTTTATAATCGTTTCTTTCTTGTGCAATTACAAAATCACCCATGATTTGTAATACGCTACTTTGGTCATCGTTCTAAGTGCATTATAACACTGGCCAATAATTGATACGTGTTTTTCTTACTCAAAATTAAAAGTTTGAATCTCCCATTCTAATCTTATAAAATGAATTGATTAATTTTTCTTCACATGTTGAATTCACTACTGGAATGGAAACACCGGGCAGGTTGAACAATAATGCCAGATGTAGTGTACCAATATTAATAAAGCCAGATGCATCATGCATAGACTTATACTCTTTGGATTATTAACTTTGTCTACATTTCCCAAACTATACCCTCCACATTACAGCAGCCATACATTATAAATAAATTAAGCTTATTGCCATTATTTCTACTAATGTAAAATGTAAATGGTAAATAAACTTTTATATGGTTGTTATTTCAAGACCGCTAAATCAGTATTTTAACCATGACCCTTAAGTCAGTATCTTAACTGTCAACACTTATTAACATTAGCGATGCTACATTCAAGTCAGAGGGACCATGGCCCGTCAAACATTTTTGAAATCTTATATTTAGATATGCTTCTAATTTACAAAATTTCTCAAATAGATAAAGTTGACCCCTTCAAAAAAAAAAAAAAAAAGTTCTGTGGTTAAAAAAGCTTAAAATTTAAGATAAAATTGTTTTTTTTAAGTCTCAAATCCTAATAATCAAAATGTGTTAATATTTAATAGTTTAATCCTCTTTTAAAAACTAAAAATAAATTGTTTTGTTGTTTTATATAATGAAATAAACTATTTTTTCTAGTTTTCTTTAAATTATTTTATATATGTTATTGATTTAAATTTTTGCATTAGATAATGTTAAAAAAAAAGTAATTAAACATTTCTTTGACTATTATAGTCTTATAAAGTATCATAACTTCACTTCATTATTGTCTTATTCCTTAAATAAATATTATTGTACAAAATATTACTTAAAATTTAAAATAATTAATTAATTAATAAAGTTCAAGTTTTGTTTATTATTTTAGATTAACTTGTGAAGAAAAATTAAGTTAAGGTGTATTTTTTTTGTTTTACGTTGATTGATGCTTTTTATCTCTTTTGATTTTTACTACATCACTTAAAAAATATTTTTTAGTAATAAAAATTGTTAAAATAAAATTTCGTAACAAATATGAGAAAAGTTCCTTAAAGATAATCTTATTTTATACATTAAAAAAATTTTGACAAAAACTTTCTATTCAAATGATTTTTTTCATGAAATATTATCATGCACAATTTTAAATAAAAAAAATTTGAGTTTCCTTCAATTTTGTTAGTTTTATTTTTTTTAATACTTGAATTTTTACTTATGTTGTTTATAGTTACATATATAAAATGTAACATTTCACACATATTTTTGATAATTTTCTATAAAATAATAATATATTACATATTAAATAAAAAAATTTTAATTACAAATTTTATTTTATTTTGATCTCCTCTAACTTGAAATTTTGAATCCATCACTATTCATTAACCATTAACTGGGTGATCAGTAAGTCAAGCACCCCTTGACCGCCAAGCAAACACTTGATACTTGGCTGACAACAAGCTAACTAATCCATATACTAAAATAATACTCATTCAGACTATAAAAGATAAAGTCGAAGCATATATAATTCATTTCAACTCTCTTACTCGCTCTCAAGTGTTTTTTTCTTTTTTTAAATTACATTCATAATCAAATATTATATTCATATAATTAACTAATAAATTATAACTTAACTAAACAATTAAACTTCACATAATAAATTTTGAAAACCTTAATACCTCTTTTTTATCACCAAGCTAAAGCCTCATTGGCTCTCAGTCTCAAATATCTTTTCCTTCTTCATTTTTCATTATCTTCTATACTGGGTTGATTTGAACATAATAAAACATGTCTCACAATCCTACTTCTACTTCCAACTCTTTCTAATCATTTTTTATCTTACAAGTCAGCATCCCAACAATCTTCTAACAAAGCATCTAGTCACCTTCTAAAAAACCATCAACAATTGTAGTAGTTTCTTTCAACTCTATATGATACCAAAATGTAAAAATCTTGTTATGTTGCAGTAATATTTTATATGTGAGATGGAAAAACTCTAAAAGCGGGGTTTTTTTTTCATGTATCTATTTAAATGATAAATATGGGAAATTTCTTGGCCACATAAATATGGAAATTAATTACCATGAATTATGTAGTTTTTTTTTTAAATGTAGAAATGAAATATTTAGTTTTTCTGTGAAGTGAACATGTATAATGAAAATTCAAAATCACAAGTATACTTTTGGTTAGAGAAATTGATGTTTTTTAAAAGCAGTAAAACTCCAACTTATGTGCTATTGGAGAGTTAATCAGTTTTGCGATTCTGTAAGTTTCATTAGATTGGTACTTTTACTTTTTTGCTTTTTATTATTTATTTCTTGTTTAAAATTTTTTTTACTTTGTATTTTAAAAATAAGAACACGAAATAAACGGAACCTTATTTTTCATTTTCAACCATTAAATAGGAGAGATGATGACAGAAAAAACCGCGTGGGTGCCTGCTTAAGTTGAGCTGGATCTTCCCAAAACCCGCACGGACCACGCTCACATTTAGGACACATGCATTGCATTTTATAGCAATCGACATAAATATTATGCATCCCTATCTTCGAATCTTCAAGTCCCCCCCCCCCCCCCCCCCCCAACACCCCAACCAACCCGCGACACCTTTGGCCAGCTTTGTATTAAACCACCGCAATGACTTCAATTCGCTTATCCAGTGTCTATTCTCTGAATGCTCCACTGTATACTACCAGTAATTTGGGCTTAACCAGCTAAATTTTCACCTCTTTACTTGATAGAAAACACAAATTCTACTTTTGTCTGGTATCGGTAAGGACCGAAGAAAAAATACTTCAGGCAATCGTTTATATTAACAACTTAAAAACTAGTGAAAAAGGTTTAGGTAAAGAGTAAAGACCGACAATATTGCTCGAGAAAGGGTTTTTAGAGTGTAAAAAAAAAAACTAAAAATTTCGTTTCTGGATTCACCAAAGATTCAAACTTCCTGGCTCGATGTCATTAAATCCAACACGGCGCGAATTCCCCGTCCCAGCAGGCACCAGGGTTCAGAATCCGGATGCCACCTGTGATCAGAAAACCTCAGCACCTATATTTTTCACTTCATGCGTTCGCCAACAACTGCCAAGCAACCCACATGTTTTATCCGCCAAATTAGCATATGAAGTCATGCACCTCCATTAAACAAATGTGGGCTCAAATTTTTCAACAAGGAACAATGTTCAATTCCAAAAGAAAGACTTTATGCTATTATAATCCAAGCTTTACATGACCTATCTTCATCAACCGGTTTACAATACAAACGGATTGACCAAATGCTATAAAGCTTGTAAGACTAACAACGAAGTTCGAGAGCAAGATATCGCTGCTGAAGCCAACTATTATCTTTCAATGTCAAAATTTTCCATATGTACCTCTGGTTGGTGGTTGCAGCTCAAAATTTTCAACTTAAAAGTTGAAGCTCTCACCAATACCTGCCAAAGGAAGAATAAACCAAAAAACCAGACAGTCTACACAACTATTTCCCTCCTCCATTAAGAGAATACTCCTAGAAAAAAATATTGACTTCCCTTTCACTCATCTCATATACGTGATCTCTTGCATCAGCCAATGCACTCTGCATGACAAAAAGATAATAAAAATGAATTTAGAGACAGAAGGTAAGCAAATGAGGAATCTAAAAATGAAAAATAAAATTGGCCAAAAGGAAAGATGAAAACAGCCACAATTTTGTTGGATTAGAATTGAAGCAGAAGATTAAATGGAACTGATTAGGTGAGAGGTTATAATTACCTGCCCAAATTTTGTAAGAAAATTGCTCGCGAGGTTGAGAGATGTTACTGTGACATCTTCATTAGCCTTGAGTGCTTGTGCAATAGCGAAAGCACCATCATCCTATATAAAACCCCATGTCAAATGATGCAGCATGCCGTAAAAGTCATAAATTAGATAATAAGGCAAAATGTCTTTACCCTAATCTCATTGAATCCCAAGTCAAGTGAAGTTAAAGCTTCATTAACCACTTTCAAGCTGCGAGCCAGGCAGGCCGCACCCTGCAAATAATATGCATATAACAGAGCAAAAATTAAGATTCAACATCCATGGTGACCTATTGAAAAAAAGTAGAGTTTTATCTACAGGTACAAACTTCATCTCTAAGTCCATTTGCTCGCAAGTCCAGAATTGATATGGTATTATTATATCTCAACATTTCTGCAACGAACTCCGTACCCTTTGGTCCTATCTACAAGAGATTCCATTTCATATTGTTATAAAAAATAAAAAAAAAGGCATTGAAATTGGTTTTTTAGAGGTTTATGGATGTGAATTTACCTGACACCAACCAAGCTTAAGTGTTTTTACATTTCCGTGGAACTTAAGAACTTCAGACAAAACCTTTGCTCCATCTGGTCCAATGGGATTATAACCAAGTTCCAACTAAAGAGTAAAAGGGCAAGGAAAAAGGGTATGGGGATGAATGATGTCATCCTCCCAAATTGAGGATAGAAAGGGAAGCACAAAGGAAGCTGAAAATGATTATCATGATGGAAGGACTTACATTTGTAATTACAGTATTATCTTTTAAAGCTTCAGCTATCACACCAACCCCCTTGGCACGAATATTATTTCCACCCTATGACATTACAAACCATTTGATGTCTTCAGAGATTTGTACAAGACACGCTCCAAAAATTAACTGATTCCGAAATATATGCATAAGAATATATTACAAAGAAGCATTCCCTTCTCACCAGGTCTACGGTTGTTACTGTCCGGTTTTCTTTCAAAGCATATGCAATTTTTTCAGCACCCTGATAAATTTTCAAAATTTTGTGTCAATGAAGAAGTTCAACTCCAAGTTTTTACACAACTGTTGGCAATCAAATTCACCAAATTACTTTATAAAAATTCTAAACAAGAAAATCAACATAAGAGATTTCTTCCATCTTTCTCCAAAATAGAACATATCCGGTAAAAAATACAGTCCTTTCTTTAGCTGCCATTGGTTTAACTCTTAGAAATGAAAAGCCTACTAGAAAAAACAAAAAAACTTGATATCGATAGTATGTTGCTTTATTGAATACCTCATCGCCAATGTCATTCATGTAAAGATTCAACCATAGCAAGCTCTTGGCCCTTTTGATATATTCCGCAACATAAAAAGCACCTTTTGCAGTTATTGAATTGTTCCCAAGGTCCAGTAGGGTAACTTTGCCTAGAAAGAATATGTTTGTTAGATGAACTGCAAAAGGTTGGTAAGGGAAAAAGCCAATTACTACTGAGGAGAGAAATTTGATATAAGAAAATGTAAACCTTTATGTGATGATAAGCCTGACATCAAGGAGCGGACTCCTTCATCACCAATTGAATTTCCATGTAAGTGAAGTTCCTGACAAGACCTCATGAAAATCCAATTTATAATAAATGCATAAACAAATAAAATATAGAAGTTTTTGCTTAGGTTTAAGAAAAGTGGGAATACTTATAAACTAAGTTACTTGGACTCAGGTGCGAGTGTCTGATGCAAGTATGTATCTAAGCATCTAACTTGCCTTTTGCTCAAAGCTGTGGACTCGTGGAATCTGCTAAATGGGATCCAAAGGTAGGATGCAGATACAAGGATACGTGGAAATGTCTATTTTTATATAATATAATACTTTATATAAATAAGTTTCTTTTTATGTTTTCATTTATCAAAAAAATGCTCATCAATTAAATTTATTCTTAATTACGAGTATTAATTTTAAATACCGTTAGTCTATAAAAACATTAGATATGTTTTTAATGATCTTAATGTCAAACCCATTTAATTATGTAGCTAGGCGAAAGTCCTAGATATAAAGGGTCCAAGAAATAATAATTTATACTTTTGGATTGGACTGATACAACTCAATATAAATCCAATTTATAGAAGACAGAATTGGAAAGTATTTGAACCCAATTATTAACTCCTTCTTCAGACCCTACTAGTAATTTAAGAGAGAGCCCTTCTCTCTTCTTTTTCTCTATTGCCATACTCCTATTCTTATTCTTAGTTGCCTGCCATAGTCCTCTCTCCCTCCATTTCTCTTCTCTTCTTCCTTCATTTTTCAATTGCAAGAGCAACTAAGCAAAAGACAAAAAGTCAGCATCCGAATGTTCAAAGCCATGTCAGACACATATATCATACCCAAAACTGGCTTGATGTCATATTGGCATTGGCACAGTGACCTTAAATGCCGAGTCCATGTACAGTGCTTATCAACTGCCAATACAACGACTTAATGGAAAACACTAAAAACAGCAGCATTTTACACCCAATATTATCATTGCAAAGCTCCCTAATGCCAAACCATTACTTACGTACCAGAAGCAGTTTTAAAATGCAAGTATGAATGAAGCAATAAAGATGTCTAAAGCAGTGAAATTTCATCATATAATTTAGAAAAAATAGATGTGGAAGTAAATAAGAAATGTACCCGTAAAGACTTGTTACCCTCAAGCCCTTTAGCCAATGCATTTGCCCCCAGAGCACCACCATAATTACCACTTGAACAATAACATTATGTCAGAAAGATCCCCACATGCCAGTTAAAAATGAAAGATACATCCAGACGTATCAAAAAGAAACTTTAGCAGATTTTGTTTAAGCAAAATAGTTCAAGAATGAAAGATGCATCCAGCCAACTGAGACATAACCTATTGCATATGAAACTCAAGATGTTTTTTGGAAAAACAGAAACTGAAAGACTTCACTTACTTGAGGTGTAAATTCCGGATAGTGTTATTCTCAAGAAGTGCTCCAGCTAAACTTGTAAATCCCTACCTCCATTCCCACAACCAAAAAGAGTATCAAGGATCAATTTTTCACATTGCTTAATAAAATTTGACCATAATTTAAAGAAAATGGTAAGTTAATTGCTTACAGAATAGTCAATCATATTGTTATTAAGTTCAAGAACACGTAAGGTTGAATTTTTCTTCAATAACTCTGAAATAGCCTTTGCACCCTGCATAGAAGAGTGATTCACCATTAAAGCAAATATCCATTGCATAGGCCCTTAGGCCTCCTTCACAAAGTACTTCCAAGGGCAATAGAGTGGGTGTTAACAGAAAGCTAACCTCATCCCCTAGGTCAACACTGTTTAGCTGGAGCTTTTGAATGCTAGCATTATTTACCAAAATGTCACATAGGGACTGCAGATAAAGATAAAACAGACACCTGAGCATATGCAAAAATTCTCAACAAAAGATGTGAATCCATAGAACATGGGCACAAACAATATTTATATATAGCACAATGCATTAATGAAACTTGAAATCTTATGAACCTTTTGTTTGGGAAAACATATGCTAGAAAGTACAATACAATGCTTATTCCTATGCTTAACCATGCTCCCAACTAAATCACAACATCCAATGGGATTTAAACATTCATGCACACTGTACAGGTGAGACCTTATGAAGAATACATTTCTACCTACAACATTACTAAAGTATATACATCCACAAAAAATAAATATATAAATAAAATCACCCTATTTCAACCATGAAGATGTATGGAAAAGAATTCAACATCATTTATGCAGTCGATTTATATTAGTACTACACTACTTAACAATTGTAAAAGAATTCATAAACTGTCCTTGAATGGTCACAAAGAGACTTTAAATTAGAGATCACCTCCCTATATGGTGCTTTAGAATTAAGGAACAAAAGTTAGAAATATTTTCATTATGACAATATAGAATTTGCTCATACACTATCTTGTTCTGAGTTGAGTTTTCATTATGAGCATTATAGAATTTGTAAACATGCTAGCTTTTTCTGATCTTGGTTCCATATATATGCATTTACTAAAATAATTTAATAAAAAACAAATAGAGGCCAAAGTCATGAATTTCCTAAGATAATTTAATAGGATTTTGAATGAGAAAGCACACTTCCAATTCAAAAATTTTCCACCCTTCATAAAAGAATGAAAAAAATAACCATAAAATACTGTTGAGAAATATGAAAGAACAAGGAATTGCTAAATAAACACGACCAATTCCAATATATATTAGATAGCAAAGGGAAAACTTATGCTGATGGAGAACCTTCTTCCAACCTCATAATATTACATATAAAATTACTGAGCCCTCGATGTTGCAGGATAGGCACATTTAACTATTTCGAAGTTGTCACTTATAAAATAGTGAATTTGTGCTGACCTTTACTCCTTCATCTCCAATGGGGTTTCCTGAAAGATTAAGGGTTTTCAATACAATATTTGCTTGAAGAACATCATCAAGGGCTTTTATTCCAGTGGCTGTTATTCCATTAGCAGCAAAACTCACTTCCTCAACAACCTGAAAAAGAGAAGAGTCTGTTCAGAGAATTCATAACGAAAAGCATCAATACTTACCAGTTTCAATATTATTATAGAAAAGTTAGTAGACAATACAGCCAAAGTGAAGATCTTAGATAAAATAAAGTATAACACCTTAATCATGATAATAGACACCAAGGAAATAATGAAACAAGACAGTGAAAATAAAGACTAGCGAAGCATAACCTGATTGTAACCCAAGCTCTCAGCAAGAAAAAACAGTCCTTCATCTCCAAAGTTTCGTCCTAACAAAAATGTATTGAAGGTGTTTATGTTTCATTCCCATGAAATGAATTTGATAGCAATGAAAAATATAGTGCATCTTAAATCCAACGGGATAACTTCCCAGCCATACTAAGGAAAGAAAGTAAGCACACCATAATGAAAAATTTTAAGACTCTAGTGACCTATTTTACTGTTCATTAAATGCATCTTGGAATTTCATGAATCCATAATTAAAAGGTGAACTGGAAAATTGAACATGATTAAAAAACGGGTTTCACTCTTATCAATTGAAATTAAGTCAGCATACCTGACATGTCAACACTGCTGAATGCCCTAAGTTCCTTGGCAAATTCATTGAGCGTCTCTTTTGACTGTTTATCAACCTTACCAGCAAAACCTGACAACAGGTTTGTACCTGGAGCAAATGACCACTTCACTCCTTGTGAAGGGGATTTATTTTCAACAGATGAAAGCCTTGATGGCTTCGGCGTAAGCAGTTTCACCACCAATTTCCATAAAACTGTCAGCTGAGACATCAATTAGGACACACATAGGATATACATAACGATTAAAAGAAAAAAGAAACGTCTAGAAAAGTCTTAAGCAGTCCCCAATAAAAGAAAAAAGAACACTCCAAAATGCTGTTGATACCCCAAGCAACAGAGAGCAATGGTAAGCAAGGTACAAGACTCGATACACATTGGCTTAAAGACTAAAGAAATGCTGATATCATATATCAGATTAAAAATGAACTGCCATTAACAAATGCAATTACTATAATTATGGCGTGAGTGAGCAATCAAGCAAAACTATTACCACTAGTAAATTCAACATCCCCGCCTTAACTACTGCGCTGAAAACCATGAATTTTCATTATAAAGTGCAATCATTTAAATTCCTTCCAAATTCACCATCCGCAAGAAAAGAACAGAAACGGAAACCCATACCAAAAGCAGCAGCGACGCAAAAGCCAGCGGGCACCACAAATGATGAAATCTGCTTCACCGGAGCAGTACTCAAAGGCTGCTCCGACTGCGACTGTCTGTACACGCGCCGCCTCGCGCCTCCATCTGTACCGTACGCTGCCATTACCACCAATCTCTTAGACCTCGAATAACATCTCCTAATGATAAAGGACGTGGTATTGGGAACAAGCCTGTGGCCGGAGCCCGAAGCCAACGGTTGGAAGTGGAGCTTCTGTTTGTTTGGAAGAATCTGAGAAACAGGAAAAGAATGAATGAAAAAGAGTTACATCCATCTTTTGAGTAGAAGAGAGAAGAGGTTCCGAAAAAGAGTGCCCGCGTGTGTTTTACCTTGGGCTGAGCGTAGAGATGAAGAGTGGAAATGAAACCCATGGACGTAAGGGGGAGATGATCGTGCGCCTGCAGCTTGGGTTTACAGTTTAGGGAGAAGGGCAGATAGAAAAGGATAGGAGCGGCGACTGAGACTGTCTGCGGGAGGCGGGATGTTGTAAATCTAAAAGCACGGTCTTTGTTTTGTTCAACAACGCCGGTTTGGTCCAAGTCTAGTTTATGTATTCATCGACTACGGAGAACCATTACTCCGTGTTTTTGGATTTTAGAAACCGCTTCGTCTGGTCTCGAGTTGGATCTTGGTTTCGGCCCAATTTTATTGGATAAAAATGAATTTAAAGCCCAACTCTCTAATATAGCCTAAGTACATAAGATTCGGTTTCGGCCTAATTTTTTATTGAAAAATTTTTTCTTAACTAGCCCACTCAAACATCCTAAGGAAATAAGTTCAAGATTTGTCACATATTTTCGTGGTAAGAAGAGATTTTAGAATTTTAAGGTTTTAGTTTTAATTTTTATTGTATGTAGATTTAATTATTTAATTATATTTTAATTTTTAGTTAATTATTTAGTAATTATAATTTTATTACAATATAATAATTAATTATATAAATGTAATATTTAATAATAATTGTAATTTTTAAAAAATTCAATATATTCATATTCCTTCATGAATTACTCAACAAAAGCAAATAATTAACCGACTAATCCAACTGGCAATCAATAATGCTCTGAATAATTTGCAAATATGGGTTCTTTGATCGAATCTACCGTTTGGGCTAGTTGTTTGGCAGCATTGATCACTGTTATAGGTGCTCTTATGGAGATGCGGCCAAGCATGGTCATGCCCCCGGCGCATACGCCAAATATGAGCAACCTTGTATCTCCATTTATGGTGATTGGATTCCTTGCTTTTATTTTTAAAATTTTATCTCAATAAATAATTTTTTGTACAATAATAATAATAAATATTAATAACTTAATTTTAATTTTTTTATAATATAAGTAAATTTTGATAATTTTTTATATACTTTTGAAATTAATAATAAATACTTACAATTCAATATGTATTTTTTGTACTGTAAGTAAAATTTAATAACTTTTGATATAATTTTAATTTACATAACTTTTAATAAAATTCTAATAACTTTCGATACAATTTTGATAACCTCTGATATTAATTTGGTAACTTGTGATATATTTTGATAACTCTTGATATAATTTTAATAATCTCTTGATTTAATCTTTTGATAACTTATGATATACTTTTAGTAATTATTAATAAAATTTATGCCATAATATATTTAACAATGGATTTTCACAAGAAAACGAGGAATTAGTTCTTATATAAGATAATTTTTTTATATAATAATAATATTATTATTTTATTCAAATTTAGAATTTTTTCACTAAATTTATTTATTAAATAGATTTATGGTTAATTTATCTTAATTTCTTAAGATGACATTTGTAGTTTTGTTTGTGCAAGTAACTAAGATTCAATTCTTAATTACGTCAAGTATAAAAAATTTATCAATGATTGATAATTAAGTTTTTATTGATTTCATATTATTTTATTAATGATTTATTACTAAATTATCAATAACATGCTACTAAATTATCAATTATTTACTACTAAATTAGCATTGAAGTTATAACTCTATAAAATAGAGTTATTTTTAGTACTTAAATGAGTAAAATTTGCTTAGTTTTTTGCTAAATAAGTTTTTTTTTTTTACTTTTAAAGTGCTTAATTTGCTGTGTTGTAGGAAATCTTGAAAGCAAGATTAAATCTTGATGAATCTTGAAGAATCTTATAGTTCTTGATCAATTCTTGATGATTTTTTATATATTGAAATGAATCTTGGACTGTTTTTTATGGTTCTTGAAGAAAAAAGTGTGCAAGATTCGTTTTTCCTAACTTAAAAGAGTTAGGAAAAATTGTTTGATTTTGGTGAAAATTTCAAAAAATTTATGCAAGAAAGAAGCAAGGCATATTCAGTCATGATAAGGGTAGATTTGTAATTTCAAGTTGAATGCAAGTCATGGTATTTTATATAGGTACACAAATATGGGATTACCAATAATTATATGACAGTAAGTCTTTTCTTATTGCTAAGAGAGATGATTTGGAGGCTTATGTGACATGATAACTTGGCAAATCTTTCCACATTAGAGAAGACCAAACAGCCCTTAGTATTCCTACTTTGAATTGGAATTCCTATCTTTATTAGAATTATACTTATTTCTAATTAGAGTAGGATTTGCATGAATATAAAAAGGCAAAATAAAATTAGGGCAACATAACAGATTCTTAATGAGGATTTCAAGAGTCCTAATTAAAGGAAAATTCTCTAAGAATTTTCCAAGAAGTTCAAGTCGCACCATGCAAGCAGAAGTTAAAGATCAAGCAATTTGAAAAGTTTTTAAAAGGTATGTAAGATCTTAAAACCTAACTAGCCTTATTGCTTCCAAGCTTTCAAAATTTTTCTTATCCAATATTCTAAAAGTTGCAACACATTAAAAAAAGAAAAAAGCAATAACTACTTACCATTTAGAAGCTAAGATTCAGTCTAGAAAAGGTCTTTTAAATAGCTCCATTTTCATTCAATCAAGACTATTTTCAAGAAGGACTTTTTTATTCAATAAGTTCATTCTTTTCAAACCAAAAGGTTTGCTACTTTAAAAGTTCAAGTTGGCCAAACTTACCCTGGAATTCTTTGTCTATAAATAGCTAGCTTAGGGCATTAGAAAGAATAGGGTTGGGATAACAGACCAATCTTTATAGTTTCTTTATTTTTCTTATTCTCTTTAAGCTTTTATGTTTTTTAAATTTCTACTTCTTTTGAATTCAATTTATGCAAAGTTTCTTTTAAGTTTTAAGTTTAATAATGTTCTATTTTAAAGTTCTTTCAATTCAATTTTGTTGGGTTTAATTTAATTACTTGCTAGTTTAAGATCTTAGTGCAATCAGTTTAGTTTTCTAGTTATTGCAAATTCATTCTTAATTCTTGTTTAGTTTTAATTGCATTCATATTTAGCTTTGCTCTATTTATGCGATTCAATTAGATTTCATATCAATTTCATAATTGCATATTTCATTCATCATAACAGATTCAGTTCTTACACTTTAGATTAATATTGATTCCAATTATTTCATCTTTGCATAATTCGCATGTCTTTAGTTTAAATTAGTTTTATAGTAGTTCAATTACATGTTTTAATCATTAATTAAGGTTTGCATGCTTTCATTCATTGTAATAGTTTCGATCATCCTACTTTACATTGATTTCGATTAGATTTGTTGCATCTTAGATTTTGTTGCATGTTTTTAGGACAATTTAATTTAATAACAATTTACTTGCATGTTTTAATAGTTAATTAGGATTAGTCCAGATAAGTTCAATTTGTTTGAATTACTTGCTATTTAGATTACTTAGTATCAATTCGATTCAATTAGATTTGGTAGTAATTCACATTATTACATTCTTGCATAATTTGCATGTTTTAGGTTAAAGTAGTTTCATACTAGTTTAAGTGCATGTGTTAAAGGTTAACTAGGGTTAGTTGCTTGCTATTAAGATTACATACATATCAATTTAATTTATTTGAAGTTAGAAAGTTAAGTTTTTCAATTTTGTATGTAACTATTTTCATTTGCATACAATTGAATTTAATTAGTTTAAATATCATTTTGTTTCTATTAAATTGGTTAATATTGCATTCTGGTTTTGTTAACTTTATTCATTTTGCATGTTTAATTATTGATTTGGTTGATGCATTGGTTTATTAGTCATATTTAGCTACTGATTTTTTATTTAATCATACAATTACATCATAAGTTGTTGAGTATTGCATGTTCAGCATAGCTTAAATCATTCTTACACAATCAGATTCAATTACATCTTGTTTATTGCATAATGTTTAGCCAGATTTTGCATTAATTGATTTCAGTTTGGTTCATTAAATTAAGTTTGATTTTGATTCAAATTTAATTTATTGATCAATTTTAGTTTAAGCTAATTCTTGGTTATTTGCGTCTTATTTCATCTATTCATTTGCTGTTTGCATTAGTTTAGGTTTAAATTCATATTTGTTCATTGTTATTTCATGTTTATAAGTTTGATTGCATTGTTTAGATTCTGTTTTAATAAATTTCACATAGTACTTGCATTCTTATTTCCATTCCCCCAAATATAAGAAAGGCAAGATAATTTTAGTACTTAATTTACTTCTATTTACAATTTTAATTAGAACAAAACTCTACTTATCACTTTATTACTTGTTTCAATTCTGTGTACTTGTAGATTATCAATAAAAAGTACTACTAATTTATTAATGATTTACTACTAAGTTATGAATGATTTACTAATAAATTATTGATAATTTACTATTAAGTTACTAATTATTTATTATAAATTATAACTAAATTATTAATAATTTATCGATAATTTACTACAAAATTATCAATGAAAACTAATTTACTACAAAATTATCACTAATTTACAATTAAATTATCATTGATTTGCAACTAAGTTGTTACTAATTTACTAATAAGTTATCAATAATTTACATCTAAATTATTAATAATTTACTACTATATTATTATTCATTTATTACTATGTTATCATTGATTTGCTACTTAGTTTTTTATTATTTACCACAAAATTATCATAGATTATAGCTAAATTAATTATGATTCATTATCAAGTTATCACTAATTTATATTAAATTATACATAATTTATTATTAAGTTATTATTGATTAACTACTAAGTTATTGATGATTTACTACTACTTACTTTTAAGTTTTCAACTATTAACTATTAAATTATCATCAATTTACTATTAAGTTATTCATGACGTATGACTAAGTTCATTAATTAATTACTATTAACTTATCATTAATTTACTATTAAATTATCATTGAATTATTAGTAAGTTATTAATTATTAACTATTAAGTTATCACTTTTTTTTATTAACCTATCATTGATTTATAAATATGTTATTATGCATTTACAATTATAAAACATGGAATCTAAAATTTTCATTAATAACATATGAGATAATTTTTTTATATAATAATATTATTGTTTTATTCAAATTTAGAATTTTTACTAATTTTTTTATTGAATAGGTTCATGCTAGGTTTATCCTAGTCTCAAATAAAAGTTTTGACTTCATTTTTACTAGTAACTAGAGTTTAATCCCTAATAACTTTAA